CAGTAGTAAAACATCTGGAAAGTGATACTCCCTTAGCTAGCGTAAGGAAGTTACCCTAATTATTTAGCATGGAAAGTGACATATAATTCTGCTTTTAGAGCTGAGAACCAGCAGAATGAAGGGATACAAGGCTCTCAGATCCTTGAACTAAATTTTTAAAAATATGCCCTGACTTCCACTAAAGCTTGAAGCCTGACTCCTTCATTGAACACAATATATTGCAATTCCTGGGAAAACTTCAGTTGTATTTACAACGAGGACCTAATTAGCTGCTATCTTAAATCACTCAGCCTCAATGCTGACTACACTATAAAAACAAGTGTTCCTGCCTAATGCAATTCCATGCAAATTATATTTGGGATACTGACTTGCTTTATACATAGGATAAGACCACCCAAAAGAAGTATTTCCATTTTGATGAAAAAAAAATAAACAGAGGAACAAAAGATCCCGTCTTTCTCTGAAACTTACATAGAATCACAGAATGGTAGAGGCTGGAAGGGACCTCAGGAGATCACTGAGTCAAACCCCCCTGCCAGAGCAGGACCACCACACAATCTAGGGCAGGTCACACAGAAACGCACCCAGACAGGTCTTGAAAGTCTCCAGAAAAGGAGACTCCACAACCTCTCTGGAGAGCCTGTTCCAGTGCTCTGTCACCCTCACAGTAAAGAAGTTCTTCCTCATGTTGAGGTGGAACTTCCTGTGCTCTAGTTTGCATCCATTGCCCCTTGTCCTATCACAGGGCATGACAGAAAAGAGATTGGTTTCTCCTTCTTGACCCTTCAGATACTGATATTCATTAATAAAATACCCTCTCAGTCTTCTCTTCTCTAGACTAAACAACCCCAGGTGTCTCAGCCTTTCCTCATATGACAGATCACATAATCATCCTTGTAGCCTCCGTTGGACTCTCTCAAGTAAATCTCTGTCCCTCTTGATCTGGGGAGCCCAGAGCTGGACACAACACTCCAGGTGGGGTCTCATTAGAACAGATCAGAGGGGGAGGAGAACCTCCCTTGACCTGCTGGACACACTCTTCTTAATGCACCCCAGGATACCATTGGAACTTCTTGGCCAGAAGGGCACATTGCTGCCCCATGGATAACCTACTGTGCACTAGGACTCCAAGGTCCTTCTTGGAGATGCTTTCTAGCAGGTCAGCTCCTAACCTGTACTGGTGCATGGTGTTGTTCTTTCCCAGGTGCAAGACTTTATTCCTGTTAAACCTCATTAGGTTCCTCTTTGCCCAGCTCTTCAGTCTGCCCAAATCTCACTGAATGGCAGCACAACCTTCAGGTTGTTCAGCCAATCCTCCCAGCTTTGTGTCATCAGCAAACTTGCTGTGTAGATACTCTGTCCCCTCATCCAGGTTGTTGATGAAGATGTTGAACAGGACTGGACCCAGCACTGACGCCTGGGGGACTGCACTAGTTACAGGTCTCCAGCTGGACGCTGAACCATTGATCACCACCCTCTGGGCTCTCTTGTGTAGCCAGTTCTTCACCCATCTCACTGTCCATTCTTCTGTCCCACATTTCCTGAGCTTGCTCTCGAGGATGTTGTGGGACAGTGTCAAAAGCCTTGCTAAGGTCAAGGTAGACAACATCCACTGGTCTCCCTGCATCTATCCATTCAGTCACATCATAGAAGACTATCAGATTAGTCAAGCATTATTTTTGCCTTGAAAAAACTATGCTGGCTACTCCTGATAACTTCATTTTCTTCCATGTGCTTAGAGATGATCTCCAGAATGATCTGTTCCATCATTTTTGTAGGGGTGGAGGTAAGGGTGACTGGTCTGTAGTTTCCTGGATCTTCCTTCTTGCCCTTTTTGAAGACTGGAGTGACACTGGCTTTTCTCCAGTCCTCAGGCACCTCTCCTCCTTGCAATGATCTTTAGAGTGTGATGGAGATGGAGTGGTAGAGCAACAACACCATCCAGCTCTCTCAGCACTCATGGGTGCATCCCATCAGGGCCCGTGGGTTTGTGTCTGTTCAGTTTACCCAACTGATCTCTAAGCCTCACTGACCAGTGGAGTGCCATCCTTTCTCCAGGCCTTCTCTCTTACACCCAGGGTCTGGGATTCACAAGGGTTGGTCTTATGAGTAAAGACAGAAGCAAAGAAAGCATTCAGCAACTCTGCCTTCTCTGCAGCCTCTTCTCCCAGGGCTCCCCCCTCACTCAGCAGTGACCCCACGTTTTCCCTATTCTTCCTTTCACCACTGATGTATTTGAAGAAGCCCTTCTTGTTCTCTTTTCCTTCCTTAGCCAGGTTTAGTTCTAAGAAGACTTTGGTTGGCCTTTCTTGTTGTCTTCCTACATACCCTGACAACATTCCTGTAGTTCTCCCAAGTGACAAGTCCCTTCTTCCACAAACTGTAAATTTCTTTCTTCCATGAGACCTTCCTCAGGAGCTCCTTGCTCATCCACACAGGTCTCTTTCCTCCTCTACCCAATTTTTTACTCAAAGCCATGTACCTATTTTGAGCTTGAAGGAAGTGATATTTGAAAAATAACTAACTCTTTTTGCCCTACCTACCTTCCAGTGTCTGAGCTCACAAGACTCCTGCAAGCAGATGTTTCAAGAGTACAAAGTTACATAAAAAAGTTAGATTTTAATTAAGAATAAATGCCAATAAGATAATAATCTGTTGGAAGTAAGGCTCAGCACTCAAAATAGCAATGAATGAGCAAATCCATTAACTCCCTGAAGAAGACTGACATGTAATTTCAGCTTGCACAGCCTTCCTGAGTAATTATTAAAACCATTACTGTGCATCAGAGCTTTATTATCCTGGCCCAGATGTCTAGCCTACAAGAAAACCTAAAATCCTTTCTATTTTGGCAGTTTGTTAAAATGAAACTTGTCACTATCTCTATTATGAACAGAAAAACCAGCCACGCTACTTAAAAGTGATTCACTGCCTCCAGAGATGTCCACCAACATGAGCCTGAATATCTAAGATGACACTTTGATGCTTTGCTGTAGAGCAGGCTGAGGTGCTGATCTGACAAACAGTGAGGTTTATACAAGTAATTCACAGCCCACCTGTCCCCAAGGGCACATGACACACCACAGTTTATGTCCAGATGGCTAGAATCTCTTCCTCCTGAATCAAGGTAGCTCAGTCCACCCTGCCTGGTGGGAACAGCTTGGGGCGCTGCACTTTCACATAAGGCTGCATCCAAAGAAGTGTGGCCAGGAGATCAAGATAAGTGATTCTGCCCCTCTACTCTGCCCTGGTAAGATGTCACCTGGAGTACAGTGTCTAGCTCTGGAGTCCTCAACAGAAGAAGGACCTATTGGATTGTGTCCAGAGGAGGTCCACCAAAATGATCAGAGGGCTGGAGCACCTCTCTTATGAAAACAGGCTGAGGGAGTTGGGGCTGTTCAGCCTGAAGAGAAGACTCCTGGGGGACCTTAGAGCGACTTTCCAATACCTGAGAGGGGCCTATAAGAAAGCTAGAGAAGAGCCGTTCACTAGGGCATGTAATGACAGGACAAGGGGTAATGGTTTCAAGCTAGAAAAGGGTAGATTTAGGTTGGACATGAGGAAAAAGTTCTTTAATATGAGGGTGGTGAATCTCTGGAACAGGTTGCCTGGAGAGGTGGTGGGAGTCCCACCCCTGAAGACATTAAAGGTCAGGCTTGATGGGGCTCTGAGCAACCTGTTCTAGTTGGAGGTAGTCCTGCTTATTGTAGGGGGGTTGCAGTTGATGATCTCTAGAGGTCCCTTCCTACCCAAGACATTCTATGATTCTATAAATTGTGTCCAGGTCAGGGAGACCAAGAGCGGGCACAGGGCAAGATCAAGCCAAGGTGCTGCACTCTGGATGACCATGTGGTGGTGGCTGTTCCCACACTAACCATGGTTAGCCTCTACTACAGATGTAGCTTTAGAGACTGAAATGCAGAGTAAAATAATGAAATAATTTTAATAGTAGTTCTTGGTTTATGAATAGGAAAACAGGAAACATACAGTGTACCTCAGAGCTGATGTAATTACTGAAGTCAATAAAAATACTGACAGTTTTCTGCTGTTTCAGATGGGTTTGTTACATCACAAATCTCCTTGAATCTCTCTCCCACCCTCAACTGGTGCAAAGCACAGTGAAAAGTCTGATTTCACCTCAGAGCTTTGCAGCAGCAAATGATGCAATCTTTGCATGACACTTGTGTATTGTGGCTGCACTCAGAGAACACTCCTGTGAGATGAAAGGTGCAAGATCTTACTATTCTTAATACTACCCCAAAACTCAGGAAAACCTGTCTCAGTGGAGTGTTTATAGTGCTACAGAGAGTTGCTCATTTGTCCTTTAAATATGCAACTAGGAACCACTCAAGTAACACAGTGCTGCATAGGTACGCCACTGGTTCTGTTTACCTGCTGAGCCTGTGTAACCATGTCCTTATAGACTGTGTCTAAGCTGACATTTGACAGGGTTATCAGTGCTGATACGATGGTCTCCGCTTGCTCCTTCCCAAAACCTGGAAGACAATTAAAGGATGACAAGTTAAGGTAGCACTAGAGAGAGGGATGAAGAGAAGAGCAAAAGGTACATAATCAACTGGGTCACTCAAGTTCTGTATCTAACTACAGTGGCAAATGGGAAGTCACAGTTACTGAAAATCACAGAATCATGGAATGGTTTGAGTTGGAAGGGACCTGGAAGATCATCTAGGTCCAACCCCCCAGCATGGGAAGGGACACCTCCCACTAGACCAGGCTGCCCAAAGCTTCATCCAGCCTGGCCTTGAACACTTCCAGGGATGGGGCACCCACAGCTTCTCTAGGCAACCTGTTCCAGCATCTCACCACTCTCACACTAAAGAATTTCTTCCTAATGTCTAAGCTAAACTTCCTCTCTTCCAGTTTTAATCCATTACTCCTTGTCCTCTCACTACAAGCCCTTGTAAAAAGTCCCTCCCCAGCTTTCCTGAAAAACTGACAGTGAGGGGCCAGGCACTGTGACTTTTAACTAGAAAAAAGAGATTTAATGCTGCAAAACCCTGAAGTACATTAATTTTTAAAATACTGAAATAGTTTATGCATGCAGCTGACAGGATGACCAAATTTCTGTACAATGTTTAACTTGTTATGCATTATAAAATAATCCAGCAAAACTTTATAATGAACTTTCACAAATTCTGTGAAAACCAAACTTACCTGGAACTATAAAGCATGTACCCTACAGCATAATAAAATTCAAAGGTAAGCCTGCATATACTGAAATTGTTCTGCACAGATACCAGCACATGCAAAGCTGATTTTAAAATTGCTGCAGAATTAATTAAAACTGGGATCTTTGCTTTCTGATTACAAAAATTACCCTCAGTCCATAGCTTGGTGCAATTTTGAAGCATTAAGGATGATGTGTAGTGAATGGTGGATGAAAAACTACTGTTATTTTAGCCATATCTGACCTAGTGCTGAGTTTTTGCCCTAAATATTTATTTTCAGCAATCTCACTGATGTGTTGTACTTGAATTGGCCCATTTTATAAAGTGGGATCAATTAACATTTTGTTGAAAAATGCTGTCAAGCCCAACTATTTAGAGAAATGGGCCACTGCTCCCTTGTAAAATATGGGTACTGTCAAGCTGCATCATTGGTTTGCATTACTAAAAAAGCTACACATGCTCCGAGTTTCCCTCCCCTGAGAGGTGCATTACTTCAGTTACTCTGAATTTTCAGGGTTACTTCGGTTTCTGCCAATTCAGTGTTTTGTTCCTTCTCTACAGCAGGAACTTGTTACAGGGGAGTTTAGAAAACACTGAGAAATTAATACAAGTAAGAGAACAGAGCCTGAAAATTGCTGCAGCAAGTTTGAGAAAAACTAAATGCCTCTCCCACTTCTGTGGTATGTACAGGTTTTACCAGAGTCTTGTCACTGCAGTCCTGGAGTATTTGTAGAAGTTATATAATAAATTAATCTGAATAATTTCTAATTATGCTAAATTAATTAACTTATTCTGAACTAAAACCACAGTGCACCAGCACCAGCCAGACTTCAGCCCACGAATTCTACAGGAACTCTAAGAGGAAGCAGCTGGGAACAAGTAACATTTTGCAGCCCACCTTGGTTACCTGAGGTCTGGAAAATGGCAGGAACGACGTGCAGCCTTAAAAATATTTCCAGAGAAATGTTGGGAACTACAGGCTGACAAGACTGACATGCATGAAAAAAATAAATCTTTTTAGTGGATTGCTAGGAGTCTTTTAACTCTTAATATTAATTATTATTATTAGACCCACACAGTGGAAAAAATCCAAACCTCAGCTTGGGTATAAAGCTCCTACTGTCACTTAGGAGAAAGATCGTGGAATTTTAAGATAGTTGAACAGCTCCTCATAATATTAAAACACGGAGCTGTTGGAGAGGGTCCAGAGAAGAGCCACAAAGATGATCAAAAGGCTGGAGCAGATTTACTGTGAAGACAGGCTGAGGGAGTTGGGGCTGTTCAGCCTGGAGAAGAGAAGGCTCCAGGGAGACCTTATAGCACCTTCCAGTACCTGACGGGGCTCCAGGAAAGCTGGGGAGGCACTTTTCATCAGCAAGGGCAGCGATAGCACAAGGCATAATGGTTTTAAACTGAAAGAGGGAAGGTTGCCCAGGGAGGTTGTGGAAGCCCCCTCCTTGGAGGTGTTCAAGGCCAGGCTGGATGAGGCTTGTGAAGCCTGGTCTAGTGGGAGGTGTCCTTTCTCATAGCAGGGAGGTTGGGATCTGCTGATCTTTAAGGTCCGTTCCAACCTTAACCATTCTATGACAGTTGCTAGTGTGATGAAGAGATCAGCTCAACGCTTAGAGCGGATCAATAATGCAAACCAAACCCTCTGGAATTACTAAGGCACAGAGAACAAAATAGATGTAACATTAAGTCACTGTTCAAATCACAGGACATTCAGTTGTCCAACTGTGCCCGCAGCTTTGTTCCCTTCCCTTTGAGAAAGGATGTGACAGAAGACTTACAGAAGAGCATCATGAATTATAAAAACTATGGAAAAGCTACTGCTGAAGGAAATACTCAACAAGTTACGATTCATCTGTTTGGGAAAGAATGATGGGCAATTATGACAGAAGTTTATATAATCATGAGTGACATAAGAGATCAGATGTTCATTCCCTCTTCCCATGAGAGCTGAGCAGGCATCAAATTAACCTTGCAGAAGCCAGGTTCTGCACAGACAAAAGGAGTGTATGTCTGAAACTCCATGAGAAAGGATGTTTTGACCACTCTATAATCAGTTTAGAGTGGTCCAGGGACTGAATAAGCTTGTGAAAGAAACCTCCTGAAGGATATTAAAACTCACATTTGACTAAATATCTGCAGTGTGAAAGTGACTGGGGGCTTAGAAATTACAGGGGTGTGTGTCACATACCTCTGCCTCATTTTAACACTCTCTGGGGGCACTGACACAGGACAGGACCCAGCCTAGATGGACACCTCACCTGACTTCAGATATCCACACCCACAAAATACAAGTGCAGGTGTTAGGAATGTATCACAGACTACTCTGCAGCAAATAATTCTAGTCAGAAAAACCAGCTTTAGTTACTGTAAACAGGCTAGTAAAAGGACCTTCTATTAAAGCTGCTTTGTCTTCTTTTTCTAAAAAATAGTTAACTGTTGTCACTTTCCATTTGTTACATGCATTATGTTCCCTGCCTGTAAGACAGGATATAAACTTGCCTGCAGATACAAGAAAGGTTAATCTACTGTAATAGTTTATTTCTCTGGTTGTAGAGGCATAGAACAATGTTAGATGCCTTCTCCTTCACCAGCCTCCCCAAGAGGCTGCCAAAACATTTTATAACACCTAAGTATTGGTACTGTGGGAGAACTGACAGCACTCCAACTTACAGTACTTAAACTCTGTGTGTTCCTTGGAATTACTTCTAAGATATCACTTACCATGGGCTTCTAGATCCCGCACTAGAGTATGGGTATCAAAAGTCACCTTCCTCTGCTCCAGGGGAGTGATCTCAACTCTTCTGACATCATACGAGTTCCTAATGAGTGTGGCAGCAAAACCTGGAATCACAACATGTGATTAAACTTAACCTGATCAGTTTATCATGCAATAGAGTAATATCAATTTCTTTCATCATAGCAAAGCTGCATGGAAATTGCAACAAAAAGCTGGGTCCAGCACATCAGAAACCATCAATCCCTTTTCCATAGGACAGTTTATACCAACTAGGACTTGCACATCAATCTTAAGTATGTGAGTATAACTGGGAAGCCACACATCCTGGCACACCAGAAATAAAACATCTGTATTGTATTATTGGAGAAACATCACTTGAATCATATTCCTACTTTTAAAACACCACCAGTTCTAACACACAGCAAATTTCTGCTGGTTACAGCTACCATCAAACCACAGAATGTCTTGGGTTGGAAGGAACTTCTAAAGGTCATCTAGTCCAATCTCCCAGTAATAAGCTGGGACATCACACATTTGAACATATTAATTTGGTTCTTCACAGAATCCCTCAATCACTTTCTTTTTACACTTTCTTCTCTCACTGCCCCTCCCAGCAAGGAGAGTGTCATGAGCAAAGAGAAATGACAGAATTTTAGGGGTTGGAAGGGACCTCAGAAGATCATTGACTCCAACTCCTCTGGCCAGAACAGAGGGGGGAAAGAAGCAACAACAAAAAACCCACAAATACACCAAACAAAAACCAGAGCAGATCACTCAGAAAGGCAACCAGACAGGTCTTGAAAGTCACCAGAGAAAGAGACTCCACAACCTCTTTGGGGAGCCTGTTCCAGAGCTCTGTAACCCCCCCAATAAAGAAGTTTTTCCTTGTGTTGAGGTAGAACCTCCTATGCTCTAGTTTGCATCCACTGCCCCTCATCCTATCACAGGGTACAAGTGAAAAGAGCTTGTTCCTGCCTTCTTGATGCCCTCATGTATTTATAGACATTAATTAGTCTTCTCTCTAAACTGAAAAGCCCCAGGTCTCTCAGCATTTCCTTGTAAGGCAGGTGTTCCAGTCTGGAAACTAGAAGGTTTTTTATTTTAGGAAGATGTGCAACTCTTAACATTCAGAATGAATTTGTTAGTTCACCAGGAAGGATAACTGGGAAAAAAAACCTGACATGATGTCTACACCTAATACCTCACAGATGAGTATTATTTAAAGATCCACCTTATTTATTAAGTGAATGACTTCTCACAAGATGTTGTTTCATTGCTTTTCCTACTTGATTTCAAGCATATTTTCTGTTCCTCTTATCTTTGAGGGGCTTTGCATATTACAGATTCTGTTCTGATACAGTTTTTCTTATCTAAGAAGGCCTGTTACCTTCTAAAAACATGCTTATCCAAAACCATTCTCACTGCTGGCCCTCTCCCTTAACCAAAATGTTGTCCTGTATCTTATATAGATTTTTACTCAAAAGCTTTATGTCATTTAAACAACAAGGAAGTTATATTGTGCTATTGTGAGATAAAACAAGGTATGTGCTATCTTGTCATTACTCAGAAGTGATTATAACTAAGCCAGCTGTAGTATCCCAGTCTGTATAAAATTGGAGATTAAAAAGACAAAGGACAGATGTGTGTTTGAATGCATAAACAATAATGCTACATAAAAATATTTTAAAATAACTCTTAAAGTTTACTGTGGGATAAAATTATATTTTTCCACAGAGTCCTAATAGTTTTTCAACACACAGCACAGCTTTTTGTGGTGTAAATGTGTTGGTGGATTTTTTTTTCCTTTGAACAGATACACTAGAGACATTCAGAAAACCTGGTATTACAACATGATGCTTCTGGTTGCCTTGACATGCTGCTTTTCCCCCTGTTGGTTCACTCACAGAATCACTGAGGCTGGAAAAGACCCTTAAGATCATCAAGTCCAGCCTATGACCAACACCACCACATCAGCCAGACCATGGCACTAAGTGCTACATCCAACCTTTCCTTGAACACCTCCAGGGACGGTGCCTCTATCACTTCCCTAGGAAGTCCACTCCAATGTCTAATCACCCTCTCCATGAGGAAGTACTTCCTAATATCCAACCTAAACCTCCCCTGGAGCAGCTTCAGGCCTTCTTGTCTTGTTGCTACTTGCCTGGAAAAAGACCCCAGCCCCCACCTGACTACAACCTCCCTTCAGGTAGTAGGTTATAGAGTGATAAGGTCCCCCCTGAGTCTCCTCTTCTCCAGGCTAACGCGGAGACTCAGAGGGAACCTTATCGCCCTGCCATCCCTCCTGTGCTCCTGCCTGGATGCGCTGGCCTCAGCCCACAGCTGCGCTCAGGACTCACTGATGTTTTCACAGACCACATCCAAGATCCCGTTCTGGGATGCCTTTCCGCACCCCCTGGGTAACTCACTGCTCTCCCCGCCTCACACCTTCCCTGTCAGCCCACAGAACTGCTCCAACCGCCCCGCGCAGCCTCCGGCGCAGCCCGGGAGGCCGAGGTGACCCCACCCCCCGCGGGCGGCCTCGTGCGGCTCCTGGCACCCGGCCCGCCGCCCCTCATGGCGGCACGAACCCGCCACTTCCTGCCCGCGCCCCCGCCGCGGGAACGCATTTCCAGTCGCGCCCCGCGAGGCATGCTGGGTACTGTAGTCTTCGGCCGCAGGCAGGGCCAGGGCTGCAGGCGGCGGCGCGGCGCCCCCGTGCGGCGGGGAGGAGGCAGCGCAGCGCCCGCTGCCCGCGGGTCCTGGGGCTCAGGGATGAGCAGAGATGAGCTCTGACCCTGCCCTGGAACAGAAAACCATCCCGGGTATTGCCATGCAAATTAAATACAGGGCATCTGACTTTGCTGCTGGGCTGCAGGTGCACCCTGGAGAGGTTTGTTGCAATTCAGGTGTAGGTGGGACTTGAGGAAGCTGTCTCCAGTGCTCTGAGCATTCCTCAGGGAGGGTGAAGTTGGAGTTTGAGTAAGGTAGACTTCTTAATCTAGCCAAGCACAGGAGAGGTCGTCAAAATCCTTCTTTGTAAGAGCCCTGACACTGTTTGCCTTTAGGGTAGAATGATTTCTGGTCAGGTAGAGTCCAGAGGACAAGCAGGCTGCCTGCAACAGGCTGCCCAGGATTCAGAGCAAATCAGGTCTGTAGAGGTGCAGGCATGGGGCAAGCATGCAAGTGTCACCAGGCAAACTCAGCTCTGGAGACTGCAAAATTGTTGATCAAAAATGCAGGGTCTAGTGGCATGAGGACTGAGTATTCACTGCATGTTCACAATCCCAAGATGGACTACAGGAAAACGGCCCTGAATTTCTCTTACATATGGGCTTTGATGCCTGTATACAGAGTTAGAATTAAATTTGTGATGGAGAGGACCATGCAGAGTCTTAGAGACTCTATTTTCTCCCAGCTCTATTTGGATGATGTGAACTGCTCCTGACTTAGCCTGTTTTTCCCTTATTCTCTGTCCTGAACTCACTGTAGCCTTCGACAACTGCGGTAGGTGAAGCTCTCTAAGCCTGGCTGAACACATGCCTGTATTCAAGCAGCCCCAACTTTAAATGCAAAACCAACCCTGGCTCCAGTTCTGAAAAATGAAACTGTAACTCTGGACCCTCATGATTTTGAACTCTGAAGTTTTCAAATGGCTTTTTATTTTGCTCCCTAGAAGAGCAAAATGCAGATATCACAGCCTCAGGGTATTTCTGCAAGACTGAATTCTTCCTTTTCAGTCTGTGCCAGTTGCAATGAAACACAATAGGCTCTCTCAGACACCTGTTTCACTGTAGAAGTCCAGAGATGCAGAAGCTAAACCTTAAAATAAAAGCGCAGACCGGAAAAAGAAGAAGATTGCTGGTGGTACTTTTTACAGAAAGTTCTAACAGAAGAAATACAGTTTGAGGGCCATGGCAGAACAGATCCGTGAGTCGGACTGATGCCATGGTAACAGGTGCAGGATTCAGCAGAAACACTCCAGCCTTATTTCAAGCGTCGAGTTTCCAAGTCAACAACTCCTGTGTTGCCAAGACACAGACACGGGGAAAAAAAAAAACCAAACCCAAACCCTCTAACAGCAGCACCAAAAAGCTGTCGCCAAGGGAGAAGAGCCCCGGGTCTTTGCCTGTCGTTGTTCGGCACCAACAGAGTCACCCGCATTTGCTCCTTGAGCGGCCACCAGCCCTTTCCCACCCCTCTCATCCCAAGACACAAACTCCGGGTTTGCAAAGACACAGACACGGGGAAAAAAAAACCTCAAACCCTCTAACAGCAGCACCAAAAAGCTGTCGCCAAGGGAGAAGAGCCCCGGGTCTTTGCCTGTCGTTGTTCGGCACCAACAGAGTCACCCGCATTTGCTCCTTGAGCGGCCACCAGCCCTTTCCCACCCCTCTCAGGGCAGAAGGGCTGGGTGCCCCGGGGTGCTGCTTTCCTGCTGCAGCCAGCCAGGGAGCTGGCAAGTGTTGGGAAGCGCTGGGTTTTGGCAGCCGGGACCAGCAGCTCAGCTCGGTTCCCCGCGGTCACACAGGGTCCCCGCTGGCCGTGGGAGGGCAGCAGCCTCCAGCCAGACAGCGCCTGGCCTGTGTCCTCATCAGCTCACCCTCCTGAGCTCCTTTATGTACTGCTTTCTTAATCCCAGCACGGCGAGGGCAGCTCTGCCCCTGCTCCCAGCCGGCCGTGCCGCGGCTGTGGCCTGCACGCAAGTAACACCCCATCAGTGCCCTTGTGGCCAAGAAGGCCAATGGCATCCTGGGGTGCATTAGAAAGGGTGTGGTTAGTAGGTCAAGAGAGGTTCTCCTCCCCCTCTATTCTGCCTTGGTGAGGCCGCATCTGGAGTATTGTGTCCAGTTCTGGGCCCCTCAGTTCAAGAAGGACAGGGAACTGCTCGAAAGAGTCCAGCGCAGAGCTACAAAGATGATGAAGGGAGTGGAACATCTCCCTTATGAGGAAAGGCTGAGGGAGCTGGGTCTCTTTAGCTTGGAGAAAAGGAGACTGAGGGGAGACCTCATCAATGTTTACAAATATGTAAGGGGTGAGTGTCAGGGGGACGGAGTTAGGCTTTTCTCAGTGATGCCCAGTGATAGGACAAGGGGTAATGGGGGGAAA